AATAATAATAATAATAATAATAATAATAATAATAATAATAATAATAATAATAATAATAATAATAATTTTTAAAAAATAATAATTAAAAATTAAAGTCAGAGGCAAGAGAATCAGTCATCCACAATGGAAGGTGACAACGCTTTCTGCTCCAAGACAAATAAGTCCCGAGATAAGCCAGTGGGCCCCCAAAAGGCCTCTAAGGTGGCGGATAAGGATGCCCATAGATGGCACCTAGCTTTGGAAAGGCAATTGCAGAAACGAGCCAGGGAGGCAGACAAGCTGGCTATGACACAACAATCTGATCAGGACCCAAGTCCATTGTTGGGGCCCTTGGACTTATCTACCCAGCCCAGGCAGGCTGTCTCTGGACAACCTCCCATAGGCACATCTCCTCCAATGATCACTGCCTGGCTAATCCCAGAGGCAACCTTCACCCCTACGGTCACCGGCCTAAGACAGGAGGAGGGATTACCTGAGACTATCCCCATCGAAATGAGGCAATGGATGGAGATGGCGATTCAAAGGGGCATTGCGGCTGGAGTTCAGCAATCCATCAGGACCAGACACTTCTTGGCTGCTTCGGATGCGGGATCCCTGTCCGCTCGATCCTTTGCTCATATGGGACAACATCAAACTCAGGTATTCCCCAATATTCCAACATACCAACCCAGGGTCTTTGGGAGGAGGTGGAATTTGAGGATCAGGATGTTCCCATGGAGGTGGGGTCGATCCATCAGATGGACTTGGGGTTGTCAGAGGCTGACCCACTAGAACGGGGAATGTCGGACGACGAAGGCCTCATTCCGGACCAACCTACCTTTTCTGGCCTTTTTCGCCCACACCTCTTTAAATCCTTACTGTTCAAGGCAAAGAACACCGCTAAACTAGGCACATCAAACCCTCATCCATTGTCAACAGGGTCTCAGGATGAATCCGAGGATCTAATATTCTCACAACCGGCTAATGAGGCGGAAGCTATTCCTGTCCCTCGTATGTTTGCTGAATTAGTACAAAATCAGTGGGCATCAGCAGCATCATACCCAGCCCAAACAGGGTACGATAAACGATATTATAATTTGGCACCAGAGTTTTCAAATTTTCTCAAAACACTGGAGGTGGATGAGCCCATTGTGGCACTGGCCTCTTCTTCAACCTTTCCCAACGAGGCCGAGGAAGCCCTGAGACCGGAAGAAAAGAGAGAAGAGTTGGCACTTCGTAGGGCGCACGTTTCTGACGCCTGGGCCATTAGGGCAGCTACAGTGGCGTCCTTTTTTACACGGTCCTCCCTACGATGGCTCTTCCACTTGAGGGATATATTGCCAGCATCAAATGTCAGAGCCCACCAGGACATAGCTAAAATTATTGCAGCAGCAGAATTCTCCACCGATACCACATTTAATGCAGTCAAATTCTCGTCTAGGGCCATAGCATATCACGTATCAGCACGGAGACTGCTATGGCTCAGGCATTGGCAGGCGGAAACCAAGCATAAATGCAAGTTGGCATCAGCCCCAATATCGGGGGATAAATTATTTGGCAGTGTCTTGGAGCCCCTCCTTATAGAGAATAGAAACAAGAAAAAAGTGCTTCCCCCTCTTTTTCGGAGGTCTGAAAACAGAATGCCCCAGTCGTTTTGAAGGGGTTCCTTTCGGCCCTACTATCAAGGCCCATACGTTCCCAGATCTCAGAGAACATCAGGCTACAGGCCCAGTTTTAGACAGGATAGGTCTGAATCTTCCGATAGAGGTCAGCAGGGAGGCCAAAACAGAAGAAAGTCCAGAGGCACCGGAGGCCGATTTTTTCATCGCCCCAAGTGAGTCCTTGACAGCAGTTCCCATTGGAGGACAGCTAAAATTGTTTGCTGATCAATGGGACAGCTCCACCTCTGATGCGTGGGTCAAGGACACTATTAGGTTTGGTTTGGCGCTAGAGTTTCAATCCTCCCCCCCAAACTTTTTCATTAGGAGCCCTAGATCCACGGACCCCATTAATGCAGTTGATGCAGGAGGCTATCAATCATCTTCTACATATTTGGGCCATTAGAGAGGTCCCATCTGAACAGCGGGGTCAAGGCTGTTACTCTCTATTGTTTGTGGTCCCAAAGAGTTCGGGGAGCTGGAGGGCAATTCTGGACCTCAAATGTCTGAACAGATCATTGGTTTATCGAAAATTCAAGATGACTACTCTCCAGTCCATTCTGCTCAGCATCAGAGAGAACGATGTCCTGACCTCTATAGATCTCACAGAGGCTTATATACATATAGCAATTAGACGTGCTCACTACAAATATCTTAGATTTTGCTATTGTGAGCGGCACTACGAATATAGCACCCTACCATTCGGTCTGGCTTCGGCCCCTAGGACTTTTACCAAGGTCCTAGCGGCTTTGGCTGCCTCACTCAGGATCAAATCTATTCGCTTACAATGTTATCTGGATGATATTTTAATTTTGTCATCTTCCAGACATCAAACAAAATTGGATACCAAGATTACTCTGGAGACCCTTCAGGGTCATGGCTTTTCCATAAATTGGGATAAAAGCCCAACTAGGTTAGATCCCCTCAACTAGGTTAGTTCATTTAGGGGCAGTGATAGATACCGTGGAGGGCAAGGTCTTTCTCTCTCAGGACAGGTTAAACAGTATCCAGTCTTTGGCCAGAAAGAGGGTTTCCCTGGCAGTGCTGTCTCAACTGTTAGGGAAACTGATTTCTTGTATTTCCATTGTGCCTTGGGCTCGATTCCATTCTAGAGAGCTGCAATGGTTCCTGCTACCTTTCCAGTGATCTGGAAGAGCCACTTCCAATGTCCGGATAAAGGTACCACACAATGTTCTCCGATCGCTCCGCTGGTGGTCGGAAAAAACGATAAACAAGAGGTGTCCTTTCAAGGAACCTTACAGGGCAACAATCACAACCGATGCCAGCCTGGTAGGATGGGGAGCTCACTTCCAATCCCACACTGCGCAGGGAATTTGGACTATTTCCGAACAATCACAAAGCATCAACCTGTTGGAGCTGTGAGCAGTTCACCTGGCCTTATGCAGTTTTCTACCCCTTTTCCAATCACACCACGTTCTGGTCTTGACAGACAATATCACAACCAAGGCCCACGTAAACAGACAGGGGGGGGGTACCCATTCCAAACTTCTGATGCTGGAGATGGCCAAGTTGTTCAAGTGGGCCGAGGCCAATCTGTTTTCGCTCAAGGCAGAACACATAGCAGGGGCCTTAAACACACAAGCAAACTGGCTCAGCAGGGCCACGATAGATCAGGCAGAGTGGCACCTACACCCGTCTGTCTTCCAGGAAGCAGTGCGGAGGTTTGGGCAACCGGTGATCGATCTATTTGCCTCTCCTCTCAATGCCCAATTGCCCCGGTATATTTCAAGGTACCCGACTCAGGGGGTGGAGGCCGTCAATGCTCTGTGATGTCAGTGGCCTCCCGGACTTCTATATGCGTTTCCTCCACTCCCGGTAATACCCAGGTTGATCCAGAAGTTATTGGAGGAACGAGCGGAATTGATATTGGTCACCCCTTACTGGCCCAGGAGAACGTGGTTCGCAGACTTACAGGACCTGTCGAGAGAACAACCTTGGAAAATTCCACCGTCGAAGGTTTTCCTCTCCCAAGGGCCGATACTTCACCCGAACCCACAATGGCTCAGTCTAGCCATATGGAGGTTGAGCGGAGCCGTTTAAGGGCCCAACAGATTTCAGAGGATGCTATTGCCACCATTCAAGCATCCAGACGGTCCTCAACAAATCGTATATATGAGGCCACGTGGTCCACTTTCTGTTGCTGGTGCCAGGGGTCTAAGATCGACCCAACTGCCCCATCAATAGGACAATTATTGGACTTTTTACAGGAGGGGTTGACCAAGGGCCTATCTCCAAATACTTTATGCAGACAGGTGGAGGCTTTAGCCTCGGTGATAGCCTGGGGTGACCTCCGTTCCATAGCGCACCATCCACATGTCCGCAGCTTTCTTAAGGGTGCTGCAAACTTACAACCTCCTGTAATTCACCGCTATCCCACCTGGGACCTCAACAAGGTGTTAACCGCACTTACAACTGGCCCGTTCGAGCCTTTAAGAACCACTAGTCTTAAATTCCTGACATATAAGGTGGCCTTCCTAATTGCAATCACATCAGCAAGGAGGATTTCCGAGTTGGCGGCATTGTCAATGAGAAAGGACCTGTGCGTGTTTCATGCGGACAGAGTGATTCTCCGATTGGATCCATCATTCACTCCTAAAGTAAATTCAGCCTTCCACAGAGCGCAGGAGTTGGTGCTTCCAAATTTTTGTCTGAAACCATCTCATAGACTGGAGCATCAATGGCATCGACTTGATGTTCGAAGGGCCTTAAGCATCTATCTAGACTGCACGGTGGCATTTCAAAAATCTGAGGCTCTATTCCTATCCTTCAACCCATCCACTTTAGGACAAAAGGTGTCGACAACCATCGGTAGATGGTTGAGAGCCACCATAGCTAAAAGTTACGAATGCCAGTCCATCTCAGTTCCTAAGGGCATTACAGCCCACTCAACAAGGAGTGCGGCAACATCAGCAGCATGGGCCACACGGGCTTCCATAGATGAAATTTGGAGAGCAGCAACTTGGGCTTCACCATCTCCCTTTGTCGAGAAATTATAAAATTGATGTCTATGCCTCAGCAGATGCTTCATTTGACAGAAGAGTCCTGCAGAGGGCCCACAGAGTTTAGGAGTGGATTTCAATCCAGATGGAGTCCCTCTCAAAGGACAGGCCAAGCTTTGGTATGTCCCACTTCTGGATGCTCTGAACAGCTCATGAGAGAAAGGGCATTGGTACTTACCTGATACACCCGTTCTCTGTGAGCTGTGAAGAGCATCCAGTCCCATCCATTTCTTTCCATCTGGGGGGTTCCGTTCCAGTCAGGGATCCAGATTAGGTGATGAGTTCCGGACTTTGGCACTCAGTCTTCGCAAAACTGGGGGACGCTGGGGAGGTGTCCCATGGAGGAGGAGGAGCGTCCCAGAGTTTTAAGCCCAGCCTTTCCAGAAGAGACTGAAGCACCTCCCACTTCTGGATGCTCTTCACAGCTCACAGAGAACAGGCATATCAGGTAAGTACCAACGCCCTTTCTCTGCAGACCACCAAAATTTTCTCACGGACCACCAGTGGTCCTCAGCCCACTAGTTGGTGACCACTGCTTTAGAGTCTCCTGCTTGAGCAGGGGGTTGGATTAGAAGTCCTCCAAGGTCCCTTCCAACATGTTATTTTGTTACTAAAACAGTAGAAACTATTTAAGATTACGGTCTCATGCTGTCTCAAAGTATGTTTAGGGTAATTCTATGTTGCTTAACCCTCTCTGATTGTAGTTACACTTTTCTTGGAATTTTGGAAGCGACGACAAGCTCGACTTGAATATGAGTGGGATTTAGTTGATTTTGAGGAAGAACAGCAACAACTCCAACTTAGACCAGAGTATGAAGCAAAATGTACACAAAAGAGGAAGAATCCAGTGACTCAGGTGATTTTGTTCTGCTTATTTAGAAGATAAAAATAATTTGCAGCTTGTGGAATTAATAAGGTTTAGGTAGCTTTTTTGGAGAACCCTTAGATGAGTTTGGTCTCAAGACCTATGCTAGTTTAGTTTAATATGCCAACTAAGAATACACATTTGTCCCAGAATATGATAGCTGTGTATTGCTTTAACATGTTGTTAAAATGCAAGTTCATTTTAAACATCAGCACTTAGATTATTATCTGAGACTCTGATAACAGGGTCACCTAGATTTATTAGGCTTTCCCCATAGGTGATCATATAGCATTTTACTGGGAATATGCATTAGCATGTTTACTTAATTTATTGTGATCTTGACATTTGTTCAGCTATTCAGAAAGAAATATGCAGATTTACTTCCTATTTTGGTGCTACTTTGCTGCTAATCAAGTAAAGCTTTAATTCAGGGAGATAAAATATTAGGAAGAAAGTGTCTATTTAATATTTTCCCTGATTTGCTAGCTTTCTAAATCTAAAGAAGTTCTGCTATAGAGTTATCATTGGCACCAACGAAGGAGCACTGCTTTTTTTTGTGAGATAGGTATTATTGATGCAGTCCAAGAATTTGGGTATATTTTTGCCAGCTAAGAAGATGAATATTCATTTCAATCTCTGTAGATCATGGTTAAGTGGATGCAGTTGACTTGTGGGGTTCAGTTCTGCCTGAAATAAATGCATTATTACATTAGCTATCTTGTTTTTTTTCTCAGTTCTTCTTTCTCCAAAGATACCCAATAAGAAAATGCTCATCATTTCATTTGAGGCTTGTTAGGTCCTCTTTACATCTATTCTGAACCTACTTTCTTATAATATTAACCCATTGTTCTGTTCTCAGAGGCAATAAAGAATTCCCCTTGTGAGACAATGATTTCTAAACTGTTTTTCATAGGTCTTGTTTTCCAAGATGATTGCCATATTGGAAGCCCTGTCTTGAACTTTATTCATCAATGTCCTTGTTGAAGTGTGATGTCCAGGAATGGATACAATATTGAAATCAGGGGACAGAAGAGTGAAACAATAACTTCCCTCTTCAAGATAATGCCCACCACAAGATACCATTTACCATTTTTAGTAGTTGTGTAACATTGATTGCTCATGTTTAACTTGGTGTGAGCAAGAATATAGATCCTTGTCACAAATATTCCTGCCAAGTCAGGTCCCCCCCCCAATCATTTTTTTCCTACTCAGTCAGGAAATTAAAACAATCATGGTAAATTAGAAGTTTTGTGGTTGCATCCTGATCCATTATTTATAAAATCCACTTCACACCCCATGGATGATATGTGTCTTCCTCAATCTCAGGTCATCTACTAGAGGCCTGGAAGTTTTAGAGTTCTGTACAGTATTTTAGCTGTTCTAACACTGCACTTTTCTGGATAGAGAGAGCATTTTCATTCCTAGGATCTGTTACAGTCCCATTAGCTGGTACCTACCACTGGGATTGCTTTGGTCTTTACTTTCCATATCTTCTCTAATTCTTCCTTCAGGCCTGGTACTTCTCCAGCTTCTCATACTCTTTCTTCCTGAGATTGCTGTCATTTGGCACTGCTAAATCTATCCCACCTCTTTCTTCTGGTCCTTGTCCATATAATAATGTTTGCTTGATTGGCCAGTACCTGCCTGTTTCTAAGGCAGTCCCACAGAATCTTAGCCCGTCTATCTGTCTGTCTGTTTGTCTGTCTTCTCTCTCTCTCTCTCTCCCCCCATGTCTCTCTCTGTCTCTATCTCTCTGTCTCTGTCTGTCTCTCTGTCTCTGTCTGTCTGTCTCTCTCTTTCTGTGTCTGTTTATCTGTCTCAAGTTCTCGCCCTCCCTCCCTCCTCTCTCTCTCTCTCCCCCTCTCTAATATTTTTACAGTATGTATTTATAGTCTGCTAATTAAAAGGTGTTTATAATTTGCCAATGACAAAGGCCTATTTGGGAAATGAAATATATACGCCTCTGTTGATTTGTGTATGTATACACATTGGATCTCTGTGAGCAAACATGACAAGGGCATACAGAATTCACCTTTTCATCCACCCTTTGCAATCATTCTCTTCCAAAAATAAAATTTGTGAAGGATTGTATATACAGGCAAGAGGTTTGTGCATTTCTTTGCAAACCAAGCTACGATTACTTGAAGTCCAAAATCCCTCTTAAAATCAACTGATATTCAGCAGAACCCTTTTCATTCTTTAATTATTCCTTTTTCAACTGATGTTTTAGGAGTTAGAACTGATTAAGAGGAAGACCATTCATGACTATGGAAAACTGAGCTTGTTATACTTTGGAATATTGTTTTGGGTAAGAGAGGGCTGCACCAATTGCTGCAGCTTAAGAGTGGCAAAACTAATAAAACAAGACATTTCTCAAATGGGTCAAAAGAAAAGCATCAGAATATGGAGTGGTGAATGGGAGTACCTAACTGAACAAATTTGCTGAGCAATGAATATTGACAACTGAAAAGAAATCTGCTCTCAACTTTCAAGTAGCAACATTTTGTTCGTAAAGCCTAAAATTAATTAAATAAATAAACAAATAATAGGATGACCTGGTAAATGGGCAACCTCTCATTCAGTGTGCCACTCCTGCTTTTCTCCCAAAAGAAGAAATGTGCCTTTGTGAGGGAGGGGGATACGGGATTTGCTTTCTCATAATGTTTGAGGTTGCTTTCTGCAGTGGTCTACATACAACTGTGACTGCGGGTGGTGAAAAGTGCTGTGCTTGCTTGACTGTTTCAGGAGCTGGAGCCTTATTTACCTCTAACTAGCCAGGCTATACGGTTCTGCATCTCAGGAACTACCGTGTTGTTCTGGGTGAGCTCTTTTTGATTCATCACTCTAACATTATACTGATCACTTTTTAAGCTTGGATTTTTAGCATGCAAGAATGGCTCTCTTTGCTTTGGATCTCTTTCACTCATGCTTGCGGCTTCAAAGATTTCTAACTAACGGTTTCCAGTTTTATTTTCCTCTGCATGCAAAGTACACAATGAGTACATAATATGTGGGCTAAGCACCTCCTTCCCACCCCTTTTTAAATAACACTTTCCTATTGTGTAATTATTGATGACACTTCCTTCATTTCACTTACCTGAAATGTGTTCAAACAGTCATATACAGTTGCTACTATGCCTACACAATGATTTTCCAACTCTTGTTGTTGGATTATGTGATAGAGTTGCATTGGTATGCTTTACATGAACATGCATGACACATTTAAAATGAATAAAAATAAATAAATGTTACAGCTCTATTAGGACTAGAGTTCCATTGGGACTAGAGCTCCTATGAAGAACTGCATGCTTAATTCTTCTCTGAATAGAAAGGAGACGATAACAGAAATCAGTTTTTTTTTTACTTAAAAAAATAAAAGGAAAAACAAGCAATTTACTTCCATTATGGAAGCAGATACATGCACTGGAGAAGTATTCAGATAAAGTTTTCTTCCACTTGCATTCTGCAATCTTGATAGAACTTTCTAAACATTTATTCACAATGTGCAGTTTGCATGAGACACTAATTTCTCTGTTTTCAAATCCTAAGTAGTCTTAATTTATGTGGTTATCTCAGATCTCTTTAATCATAGCGAGCATGATAGCTGTAATAGTTTACCGCCTTGCAGTCTATGCTGCTTTTGCCAGCATCATGGAGAACACAGAAACCCTGCAACCCATTCGAGGTTTGTTGACACCACAACTGGCAACGTCACTCACTGCATCATTCCTCAATTTTGTCATCATTATGATACTGAATTTCCTATATGAGAGGATAGCCATCTGGATCACAGATATGGGTAGGTATGTTGCATGATGGCTAAGCTTACACCAGTATGTTTTCTCAGCTGCATAGGTTGAAATCATCAGCACATGAAAATAGAACATGCATAACCTTTTCTGTCAGCCTAAAATTCTTTGGGGATCTTGCTTTATGTCAGATATCCCTACCCTTGCGTCCTATTAGCCTTGCTTTCAGAGAATGATGGAATTTATAATCCGACTTATCTGGAGAACGGCAGTTTGAGGAAGGATATTTTATCCCTTATGGCTTTGCTCTTAGATTATCTGACTTGCTTTCCAGCTATGTGATTGCTAATTCTTAGCTTGTACTATACCTTCCTAAGAGATGTGGGGTCAACACTGTTAATAATAATTTTACCTGACTGTAAGTGGAGCTCTCAGGAGATTACTTGGGCAAAACTGCTTCTGTTTTCTCATGATTACAATATCTGCCTCTTGACAAAAGACAAGGAAATTCTTCACGAGATGCCTCTCAAATATTATTTTGCTTGAATAAGTGAGAGCTCCATTTATATTTATATTATGTATAAAATAAACATGATAACAAATATTTATTTCCAAAAATTGATTCAGTGCTAGTTAAATTACTCAGGAATGATAGCAACTTTGTTCTGTACATACATTCTGTGGGCAAAAGATAATTCATTTTATTCATCAACCAAATTTATATGGCTACCCGATTCATACATGGTGACTCTAAGTAGATTCATAGCTCTACCAATGCTCTCTTAGAGAAGTAAATGTTGTAATATTGAAATCTATTATCATATTCGTGAGGCTTCATAAACTTTGATGCACTACATGATATAAAGAGAATTCAATCCTTGTTTATTTTATCTTGCAGAAATACCAAGAACCCACTATGAGTATGAAAACAGACTTACCATGAAGATGTTCCTCTTTCAGTTTGTCAACTACTACTCTTCATGCTTCTATGTAGCTTTTTTCAAAGGGAAATTTGTAGGATACCCTGGTTCTTATACATACATGTTCAATCGCTGGAGAAATGAAGAGGTATGTAATAACTTTGAAAGTGAATTTTGAGAAAAAATTGACTATCCTTCTAAATATCTTGCTTTGAAGTATAGTACAAAGTTCCCCAACCTTTCTGGGTAGCTGGTCCGGAGCAGAGGTGGTATTCAGCAGGTTCTGACCAGTTCTGGAGAACCAGTAGTGGAAATTTTGAGTAGTTTGGAGAACTGGCAAATATCACCTCTGACTGGAGATTTTACAATATCCTTCTTCTGCCACGCCCACCAAGCCACACCCACAGAAACGGTAGTAAAAAAAATTGAATCCCACCACTGGTCTGGAGAGCAAAGAGAAAGAATGGGTGGTTTTGTGGGAGGGAAAGGCATGTGCACATGAGCAAGCACCCATTAGTCATGCGAGTAGGGCCAAGAGTGTTTGCAATGCTCACACGAGTGGGGCCGAGAGTGCCTGTGACAGTCATGTGAGTGATGCTATGGGCGCCCATGACGCTCACGTGAAAAGGCCCAAGTTCCCGTGATGCTCTTATGAGCGAGGCCCCAAGTGCCTGTGACACTTGAATTTGTCTAAATTCAAGATGATCCAAAAGAAGTTTAAAGGCAACATCTGCAAGATTGACAAAAAGTTTTGGGAACAAGTTTATTTTCTGAATTAGAAATCTGCATTAATCAGGACAAGAATAGAAGCTCAGAAGATTTGCATGGGGAAGAAAATTAAAAATAAAATAGGAAAAGTACAGTGAGGGCAGAAATGGAAAATTATCTATACAGGCAAGCAAATAGACAAGCAAATATAACACATATTTGTGTATGTGTTATTGGTGTAGCATGCATACCCTCTGACCTGGCTCTATCATATTTATATGTCCTCATTTTTTAAAAAGAAGAATTGCCAAAATATTTATGTTTTGATGACTGCATACAATTAACTAGTGGTGAGGTTAAGGCACATTATGAATGCAGTAGCAAGTAGTTGTGAAATCTCTCCACTGATAAGTCTTTCTTATTGATTGATTGATTTGAGTTCTATAGACAGGGGTGGAACAGGGGTGGGATTCAACCGGTGTTACTACCGGTTCAGTGACTACATTTTGCTATGTGCACGTGTAAAAAAACATTAAGCTGTACCACTGGGACAGCTGAAAAGCGCTGCGCGCAGGTGCGCAGTGTTTGAAAAGCCTCTTTTTTCCTGCTTTTTCAACCTTAGCTGTGCCGCGCAAAGCAGCTGAGGTTGAAAAAGCAGGAAATAAAGGACAGGTAAGAGCCCAGGCAGGCAGGTGGGCCAAACAGCAGCAAACACAGAACTGGTTCGGTGTCTGCTGCTCTTCAGAGCTACCGGTTCTATAGAGCTGGGCAGAACCGGTAGCATCCCACCCCTGTAGCCACCCATCTCGGCAACTGATTCTGGGTAGCTCACAATCCAGAAACATACACTACAATTTAAATCTTGTAAACATATTGAAAGAATAAAAACAGTAAAAACCATTGAAACACTAAAAAAACACTAAAACATCTCATTTGAGTACATACAAAGCAAGACATCTGGCTGTTAGCAACATAGCCAGGATGCAGGGCCCTTGGAAGATGTAGCATCCCAGGCTTGGGAGCATAGCTAGGTCTTTAAAGCTTTATGGAAGACTAACAGCTAATATTTGACAGATAAACCATGGGGAATAGTTTTCTTCATGTCGTTAAAAGAAGAAAGCAAGCTGCCGACACTCTTACTGGTTTTTGAAATAACTTCTGCCTTATATACCTCACCATCACTGTTGAGACATACCAAACTGCATTTTGTTTTATTTCTTTACCAGTGTGATCCTGCAGGATGCTTGATAGAACTGACAACCCAGCTCACCATCATCATGGCTGGCAAACAGATCTGGGGTAATATTCAAGAAGCTATAGTCCCGTAAGTAATATCTTAATACTGAGTTATTTGTATGTTTAAAAGAAAGTCAGTTCATTAATTCAATATTTGATGAATTCTGCCATCTCCTTCAGCTTAAGTTTAATGAATCAGTATCAACGTAATCTTTACAGGTATCTTGACACTACTATATTATCAGGTTTTCAGATACAACCCTGCTGGTGTGCAGTACCTTCCTCCACCCCAGACATTAAGAATAAAGCTGGCATGTGCTTGAGGACAGGGAATGGATCAATTGACACAGCTCTGCTGTTCTACTTACTGTAGATGTAATCATGGGATTTAGACTGTAACTCTCTAATCGATATGAGAAATTGATCCCGTAGTAATTTTTATACCAGATATATTGGGAAATATGTTACAGGAAGGGTGCCAAGAATCGGATACAATTGAACGAGGAAAAAACCCTGAAAATATATGTGGTGTCAATTCATAGAATAATATCATTTTGCTTTTTTTTTAAAAAAACCTACTACAACAGTGATTTCTGTTTTTCCACTGTTTAGCTGGATCTATAATTGGTGGGGTCGTCGGAAGGCAAGGAGCAACCCAGAGAATTTATACAGTCGATGGGAGCAGGATCATGATTTACAGAGCTTTGGAGCATTGGGTCTCTTCTATGAATACCTTGAAATGGGTAAGCAGAAAAGACAATGACAAGTACCACTGTGTAGTGCAGAGGTCCCCAATCTGTGGTGTGTGGTCCACTACAGGGCCACGGGCTAAACACCACTGGGCTGCGTAAGTGGCTGGCCGAATCGCATGCAGCCCAACTCATGTGAGCATCATTGCAATCACTCATGGCCCCCTCCTGCGTTCACGGCTCCTCTCACGCAAGCATTACTGCAAACATGGATGCTCATCTTCATGTTTTAAAGACTCAAAGATTCTAACGAAAATTAATACAGAGCTCTAGCTTTCAAAAAAATTAAGTATTTTAGGGGGAAATGGTGAAAAAACATATACATTAAGAAATAGCATTGGAGAAACATTACTTTGCTGTATGCCACCCAGAGTCACTTGTTGTAAGATGGGCGGCTATATAAGTTTGACATAAGATAGATAGAATGAAAGACAGATAGATAGATCCAAGACTCATAAAGCCAACTGGAAGGTACCTACACCTACTCATCCACAAGGGGACAAAAGACTGTGAAGTTCTAGGAAGAAAGCTGAAGAACTTAGGAGATGAAATGGGGTTCATCCAATCAATTGAGAGACTTTGGAAAGGGAATTAACATTCCAAATGAATGTCTAGTTACCTGAGTGTTGTTCATGGAAGAGATTTGGTCTCTGGGAGCATAGTCTGCATAATCTGGATGATGAAGTGCTGGTACATTAATACAGATTAATAAAATAATAACATCGAATAAAAACCTGTGCACTGCAAGAGTGAGTAGGAGAATAACTATACCAGGTCTTATTTAAATTTCTCAATGAACAATCAGGACACTGACTTATATATTTCACAGCTCTTTCATTAAAACTGCCACTGAAAATAAATAGGTTGAGTTTGAATTCTAATTACAGGGAGGCAAATACAATTTTATAGGTATAAATGAAATCTGCTGAGATGATTCCTCATGCTTTGAAATAAAGCAGTTCAAGGATGCAGTTTGTTCAGAAGGAAGAGGAGTGTTAAAAAGGAAATTGAATTTGCATTGTATTTTTGCCCGTACAAGTGTTTTAAAAAATATTGGATTGCCCGTACAAGTGTTTTAAAAAATATTGGCCATTGTATTGTTCCTTATTTGTAAGCTCTTTAGAAGTTGAAAGCAGAAAGCAAAGCATCTAAAATATTTTCAAACTAGTCCATTAAAATATGCATTTTTTTTAAAAAAAAAGAACCTTTCACAATAAAGAAAAATGTCCTTGTTAATGGAATATTATTTCTATAATGCCAAGATTGGCCACAAAGAGGCACTCAGAGTTAAGAAAACAGAAGTCTATATAATT